CTAAAACTGCCTGTTGTCTTTGGACAAGAGAATGTCATAGAGGGAAATGAGAGAGTATAAATTTGGAAAATTCTGTTTTGAAATCTTTGATTTCTACAAAAGCACGTTTTGGTTTTGGTTTTATTTTGAGATAGGATCTCGCTAAACTGCAAAGGCTGGACTCAAACTTCCAGACCTCCTGTCTCAGCCTCCTAGACTGCTGGGATTACAGGAATACACCATCAGTAACCAAGCACAGATGTCATATATGAAATGATTTAACAAATACCCTAATGATACAGGGCCACTTTCGAATGAAATGACAAGGAGGATGACAAATAGAGCATTTCAGATGTCAGATATGACAAGGAAGAGGAAGGTAAGGTGACCGTAGTCCACCTTCAACTGAGTTTGGGGTCATGATTCATCTCTTGGAAGGTCTTAGCCCATGGCCAGGCCTCTGGAAGGTCAACAGCCCTACTGAGCTTCATCTAACACACAGCACAGCTCAGGAGGATTGGGACAGTGGCCCTGGGGCCATTTCCTGGCAAATAACTGTGAGGGCCCTTGGAGGCCAAGACTGATTTTCTGCCCAAAGAAGCACCTGGAGGAAATTGGGGCTCCTCCCCTCACTCCAATCTACTGTTCTGACCCCTACAGCTAAGAAGAATGTTCTCTGAGTGCCCTCAATGAAGAGCCCCAGGGGAGGAGTAAATTTGCATGATCACTAAACACTCACTGGCCCCATAGGACCTGCAGGGGAATAAGAGAGGCCTGGGCTAGCCCAGCTTGCTGTGCATCTCAGGACACAGAGCTCTGGAATTTCCTCATCATGGCCTGGACTCATCTCCTGCTCCTCTTCTTTTCTGTGTGCACAGGTGACCCTCCCAGCCCTGGTCCCTGAGTTCTCCCTCCACAAACTCTGAGCTCGGCCCAGGCATAGTCTTTGGGTGAGCTTCCTCCACAGTCTCCCTCTCTTCTCTCTTGCAGGTTCCATGGCCTCCTATATACTGACACAACCAACCTCAGTGTCGGTGTCCCTGGAACAGACAGCCATGATCACCTGCTCTGGAGAGGCACTGCCAGAAAAATATGCATATTGGTACCAGCAGAATCCAGGCCAGACTCCCGTGCTAATAATATACGAAGACAGTGAACGGCCCTCGGGGATCCCTGAGAGATTCTCTGGTTCCAGCTCAGGAACAACAGCCACGCTGACCATCAGTGGAGCCCAGCCTGAGGATGAAGCTGATTATTACTGCCAGTCATCGGACAGTAGTGATACTCAACGCACAGTGACACAGACAGATAAGGAAGTGAGACAAGAATACCTTCCCTGTTTGTCTCTTCCTGCAGTCTCAGCAGGATTGGAGATATGGCCATGACTAGCAGTTCGGGTCCAAGTCACCCAGATCTGACTTCCCCAAGCTGCCCTTTACTCTCAACCCACAAGGGAGGCTCTGCAGAGGGAGCATCAGGAGTGAATTTAGGGCTGATAGAACCAGGCTGTCCTGGAGTTTTCTGGGCTCAGGCCTGAGAAGGGAATGGAGACACAAGCAGAAGGAAAGTCAGAGCAAGATGCCTTTCTAATGGTCATGGTTCCATTCCTTGACCCAAGGGGGACATCAGAGGACACAAACTGAATGTTAAAGTTGTACTGATCATGCTTGTACTTGCTGTGCTGGTAACTGTAGTGAGGCAACTGGAGAAAACATTACACTCATCTCTGAGTACAGACAGAACAGTGGAAAGGGCTGCACTTCTGCTGAGACCCGTCCTGGGGATGTCTCCAAAAACCAGGGCCAGGTCCTTACAACAGAAGGCCCCCTGAGCAGGGCAGTTGGCTGAGAGGATGCGCATCCAGTGACTTGTACACTGGATGAGGCCATCCTTGCACCTGTGTGCCTTTGACTGTGTGAGAGCACACGGGTGTACACGAGTGCACATGAACAGTGTATGAGGTGCACTTGTGTGCATGTTGCTTTCAACTTACAAAAATGTCACAGGAAGTACTTACAATGCCAAGCCTGACCAACCTCAATATTTTCTGTGCTTCCTTAACTGTCTCCACCACCTGTCTCCTGAAACTTTGCTCTATCGTCACAGTGAGAATAAAGATGAGACTAGTGACTGGGGGAGAAAACATTCATGTGTTCTTAGTACATGTCAAGTACCAACCAGCTCTCATTATATATTAAATCATTAAATCCTAAGCCCTCTCTGATTCCCGCGTCATCATTACAGGTGGCAACGCTGAGGCATGGAAAGGAGGAGGAATTTGCCTGAAGTCAAGGGTCGAAGGTGGCCAACCTCACCTGGCAGGAGAACTCAGGTCTTCTAGCCCCAAGTTCCCTGTTCTTATTCACCAACCTGTGGCCTTTGGTTGAGCTTTTGAGGCGGAGACACTGGCTTCTCCGTGAGGCTCCAGAAGTTCTCTCTCTGCTTTAGCAAAAGCAGATGACTCAGATTATGACATTGCAAGACAGTACCATTTCTCCACCTCTGCAGAATCTACCAGAAACATAATTTGAACCACATATGAAATCTAAAAATGTCTGTGGGCTGGGGTTGTAACTCATTGGTACGGAACTTGCCTAGCCTATTCTAGGACTGGATTCAATCCCCAGTACCACAAAAATAAAATAATAAAACAAAGTCAGATTGGCTGGTACCCACAACTAAAAAAATAAAAGAAGGTAGGGTTATATTTCATAATATATTTTAATTTGTTTTTCTCTGATGCTGTCATATCAATATGTAATTCATATAAAACAGAGATTAAAATGGACATTGCCTTTATACAATGCTTTGGAAATCCTGTGTATATTTTATACCGATAGCCCATCTCTACCTAAACTACCCACAGAAGGGCTTGGTAGCTGCCTGTGACTCTTTGTCCAAATGGAGGGAATATGTCCCATCTGGGTCACTGGGTCTGCAGAAGCCACTTGGTAGCAAAGAAAGTCTCATGGCCAAGAGAAGCTCACTCGGCAGAGACAACCACTTGCTCTTCCTCCCAAACCAGGACTGTTGGACAGCACCAAGAAATGCAAGAATAAACACGTGGCCACGCTTGTTCTCTTTCCAAAGACGGTAACTATGATCAGAATTTTAAAGAATCTGAGCCATTAAAAGGTATTCTGCTATTTGGTCAGTGAAGTGAGTAATGGTGCATGTGAAGTTTCCTTGATGGCCTTCCAAGGATCCCTGTCATTGGAAAAGTTTCTTTGTTGTGTTTCGTTTGTGTTTTGGGACAGCACCTCAAAAGGTCCAGGCTGGCCTCAAACTCATGATGCTCTTACCTCAGCTTCCTGAGTGCAGGAATTCCAGATAGGTGCTACCACACCCAGCCAAAAAATGTTGATTTTTATACAGAGATTGAGAAGAAAGAAGACTGTGAGTAGGCATTCTCTGACAAGGAATATCTTTCTTACCCACGGGCACTGATCGTAGTCATGAAGGTCGATTCTCTCCAGGATGACCCTAACAAGCTTCATCCAATGTTTTAGCAGAACCCACAACCAAAGCCGTCAGAACTAGACAGCTCTAAGGCCCAGCAGGCCCCCAGGTGGAGGGATTCTGGGGTGTCCAGTGGAACAAGGAGTGGGAGCACCAGGTAGGAAGGGCATGAAGAAGCTGAAGACAGGAGTGGGTGTGTGGGTGCCGTGTGGCTCTCTTCTGAGCTCAACTACTTCTTTTCAGCAAATTCCCAAGAGTGTACAGTGCTTTGGTCCTTGTCCATGGTGACCACAGGTGTCATGCATTATTTCTACTCACAGACTACTAGCATTTGAAGGTGAGTCAGCTTCACTACATCTCAGGAATACTAATTCTTCCCAAAAGGTACGAGGTAACCCAGACCATAGGAACACCAGTTCCTAAAGGCAATACATTGTTTAGGTGACCAGGTTAAAATAGTTCCTTTTTATTAACATTACAACCTGTCTTTTTATTAACATTAAAAAGCTTCTGAGCTTGCCATGACAATTGTCCAAAAATCAAAAGCCTTGAGTGTCTTAGAAGTGGAGCCTTGAACACTAAGATGTGTTGTGCACATGGAACAACTCCTCACGAGGAATGTAAACATTATGTACTACACACATGTACTAACAAACTAAACTAGATAAATAAGTGGGCATTGAAAAAAAAAGAAATGGAATCTTGCTACTCACTTTTCAGGAGGTGAGCCTGACATGAGGAGCATAACCAGGAACCTGAATGTCATCCATGTCCAGGGACACAGGCCCCTTTGGTATATGTCTGGGAGGGAGTGGGGGGGGGTCCCTGCCCCTGTCCACAGGACTTGGGGAAGACAATGCATCTGAATGAGAAACAGAAGGCTCTTTGACCAGGAGGGCCTCAGGCGCCCCGGATGAGGGAGAGACAGGAGGACAAGGGGTAGAAGGGAGGGAGAAGAAAGGACTCTATTTCCAGGCTCTCTTGTGAGTCTTCTGGAGGGAATCTTGAGCCATTCACTACTTGTCCAGGAACTTTGAGAAAAGCATTCAACCTCCCAGTAACAGTTCTCTCGCCAGTTGGCAGCTGGAGAAATTGTGCCTTGTGGATAAGGCTGCTGTAGGGTTGTTATCCATATCTGCTTGGAGGGTCTGACATAAACACTCACCAAAGGACCTGGCATGTCATTTGGGATCTGAATTAGTCATTTTTAGAGCGCTGTCATGCACTTAGCATGTTATTCTTTCTGTGGGCATCAGTGGGCACTGTGGGTCTTGATTTGAGGATACTTGGCAGTGCTCAAGTGCAAAGAGCGTGACTGATGCTCCCTTGAGGTTTCTGCTCTAGAGGGAAATCCCCTCTGCACTCCTGACACTGTCCTTGCCCTTCTTCTAACCATAGGAAATTGCCAGCATGGGGCCTTCAGGCTCAGGGCTTTGACAGAAGCTCAGATAGATACCCTGGGAAAGGAGAAAAGATTTGCATCCATTGCTCCTCCCTTCTCAAATTGCAAACAGACAGAATAAGAGGGCATCTTGCAGAGTCCAGGCCCAGCTGTAGCCTCAGAACAGAACTCCTGGAAACACCTCCCCATCATGGACTGGCTTCCTTTCTGCCTTCTACCTCTCGCGTTCTCCACAGGTCAGAACATCCAGGGCACTTGGGAGACCTATCTCCCTCCTAGCTGCTGGGCCAGTTCTCCGGAGTATTCAGTGTCACTCATATAATTTTATATTCTCAGGTCTCTGCGCCCTGCCTGTGCTGACTCAGCATCCGTTTGCCTCTGCCTCCCTGGGAGCCTCCGTCAAGCTCACCTGTTCACTGAGCAGTGAGCACAGCAAATATTTCATCCTCTGGTATCAGCAGAGGCCAGAGAGGGCCCCTCAGTATATAATGAAGGTGAACAGTGATGGCACCCACAACAAAGGGGATGGGATCTCTGATCGATTCGTGGGCTCCAGCTCTGGGGCTGACCGCTACTTAACCATCTCTGACATCCGCTCTGAGGATGAGGCTGTGTATCACTGTGGAGAGCACCATACAATTGATGGTCAGTTTGGGTAAGCCACAGTGACACAGACAAAGGGGAAGTGAGACGAAAACTTCCCTCCTTTCCCTCTTGCTTCTTAGGGACCTACAGCACCATCCCCATGTCCCTGTCTGTGTCTACAGCCCTGAGCCCTGTATCTCTCCTCCTTGCAAAATTCCTCATCCCACATCTCTGCTCCCCAAATTTCACTAGGCAGAGATCAACTTGGGTCACAGTTGCAAACATTTTGACAACACAGCCTTCCTTTTTCCATATCAGTCTGTGGAGACAATGCCAGCAGAGACCAGACCAACTCGGGGAAGAGAGGGCTCTTAGAGAGTGGCTGGTCCCTGAGAGAAGTGATCTTGTCTCCTGGACCCCCATCAGGCCCTAGGAGCCATTGTGGAGCTCCACTAGGTGATAGCATGCTGACCAAGGGTTCCAGAGGTGAAATTCAAAGCTGGCTACCGTGAGTATTCTTGGTCACCACGGAATAGCAGGGCCCTGTCAGCACTGAGGGTGGTAAGCCAAGAAATAATGAGAGAGGTTAACATCAATGCACACACACATTTTATTTTCCAATGAGCAAAAGATTTTAGTAGACATTTCTCTAAAGATACACAGGTGCCAGATCTACATTATATAAATATATTCAGTCATTAGTGACTAAATAAGTTGAAATAAAATCACAACATACTACATAGCTAAATTTTAATGAGTCGTTTTCTGTATTTTTCTGCATTTAACACACTGATTATATCTATCCCCTCATTACCTTCCCTTGGAACCCCACTACTCAGTCCTTCCTCTCATCTAATAATATCTTCCCTTCCACATTCATGACATCTGTGCTTTTGTTTTGTTTAAATTCCACGTATTATAGAAAATGTGCAGTACTTGTTTTTCTAAGTCCATCTTTTTTCACTTGACATGATAATCCCTAATTCCATCAATTTTCCTGAAAAAAAATTTACTCCTCTTTGTGGCTAAATAACACTTTATTGCATATATATGCCATGTTTTCTTTTAACCATTCATCCACTGATCAGCAAAGAGGCTGATTCCATGCCTTAGCTATTAATTGTGCCCTAATACACATGGGTATGCACATACTCCTAAGGTATGCTAACTTTAATTCCCTTGGTATATACCAAGGGGCAGGGTATGATCACACCATATGGTTGTTCTACTTCGAGTGTTTTGAGAAGCCATAATACTTCTTTCAATGGTGGCTTTACTATTTCTCATCAAAAGTGAGGAACTATTCCTTTTTCCTTGCATACTTGCCAGCATTTATTGGGATTTTTGGATTCTTTGAAAAATCTTTCTATTACTCTATGTTTGTGACATGAGAGTGACTACATTCAGCTTGGCATATATGTTGCACATCTTGATCATTTTAACTCCCCTCACGACTCCCACTCTCCCCTCTCCCTCTTTCCTTAGACCTCGTTCCCATCTCTATAGAGTCTACCTCCATGTTTCTTAACATGGCTCTTTTTGTTTGTATATTTCACAAACACATGGAAGTTGAACAACACTCTCCTGAACAGTCAATGGGTCACAGAGGAAATTAGTCCGTTTTTACAAATAAATAATGATGTCAGTACAACATATAGGAATCTATGGGACACAATGAAAGCAGTTCTATGTGGAAAATTCATGGCATGAATGCCCATACTAGGAAAACAAAGCAAGTTCAAATAAACTACCTAAAGATGAATCTTAAGCTCCTAGAAAAAGAAGAGCAAGAAAACCCAAAGCTCATACAAGGGAGGAAATTATAAAGATCAGAGCAGAAATCAATGTAATGGAGACTAAGAGAATGATACAAAACAAATCAACGAATTGAGGAGTTGGTTTTTTTAAAAAATAAATAAAATTGGTAAATGCTTAACCAATTTTGACACACACAAAAAAAGAAAAGGCTCAGAGCCATGCAATTAGGAATGAAAAAGGTAAAGTCACAACAGATCCAGCAGAAATCCAGAGGATCATCAATACCTATTTTGAGAACCTGTACTCTAATAAATGGAAAACACAGAAGAACTGGACAGATTTCTAGATACTTATGAATTACCAAAGTTGAACAAGATAAAAAAATTCTAAACACCCCAATTACAATTAATGAAATTGAAAATGTAATTTAAAATTTACCAACAAAGAAAAGCCCAGGTCCTGGTGGCCTCACTGCTGAATTCTACAAGAAATTTAGAGAAGAACTATTCTCACTACTCTTTAAACTTTTCAATGAAATTGAAAGGGAAGCAATACTTCCAAATTCTTTCCTGGAAGCAAGTATTACTTTGATTCCAAAACCATGGACCCAACAGAAAAAGAGAACTACAGGGTTATCTCCCTAATGAACATAGGTGCAACAAGATACTGGCAAACAGAATACAGAGGGTCTTCAAGAAGATCATAGACTCTGGCCAAGTCAGATTTATCCCAGGGATGCAAGGATGGTTCAACATACATAAATCAATAAATGTAATACACTATATTAACAGAGTCAAGGACAAAAACCCTATGATCATATCAACAGATGCAGAAAAAGCACTCAGCAAAATTCAACACTCATTCATGATAAAAACCCTGCAGAAAATTGGAATAGATGTTCTTTATCTCAACTTGATTAAGGTTATTATATGAAAAACCAACAGCCAACATCGTATTAAATGGCCAAAAACTGAAAACTTCAATCAAATCAGGAACAAGGCAAGGATGTCCAGTATCCCCTCTCCTGTTCAATATAGTTCTGGAAACATTAGACACAGCAATTAGACAAGAGAGAGAAATAAAAGCAACAAAGATAGGAAAGGAAGGAGTTAAGCTGTCGCTATTTGCTGATGATATGATATTCTACATTGAAGACCCAAAAATCTCTGCCAAAAGACTGCTAGACTTAAATGATGGATTCAGTAGAGTAGCTGGATACAAGGTAAACATTCAAAAATCAGTAGCCTTCTTGGACACAACAGACTCATTGAAAGAGAAATTAGGAAAAAATCCCTTTCACATTAGCGTCTTAAAAAATGAAATATCTAGGAATCAGTCTAACAAAGGGGACAAAACAGCTCTACATCAATAACTACAACACTCTGAAAAAAAGAGACAGAAGAGGATATAAGAAAACAGAAAGACATCCCTTGCTTCTGGGTAGGAAGAATCAGCATAGTGAAAATGGCCATACTTCCAAAATTGCTATACAGATTCAATTCAATTCTGATCGAAATTCCAACAGCATATTTCACTGAACTAGAGAAAACAATCCAAAAATTCATTTGGAACAAGAAGTAACCTAGAATAGCAAAACCCATTCTAGGCAACAGAGATACTACAGGGGATTTCACAATCCCCAACTTGAAAATACACTACAAAGCCATTGTGATAAAACAGCATGGTACTGGCAAAGAAAAAGACCCAAGGATCAGTGGAATTGACTGGAAGATATAGAAACAACTACAGATGTACTCAGTTACCTCATCTTTGACAAAGGAATCAACCATCCCAACTGGAGGAAAGATAGTCTCTTTAATAAATGGTGTTGGAAAAACTAGATTTCAACCTGCCAAAGATTAAAAACAGACCCTTATCCTTTGCCATGCACTAAACTAAAATCCAAGTGGATTACAGATCTAAATATTAAAAAAGAAACACTAAACTTGCTGGAGGATAAGTTAGGCAGAATTCTCAAAGACATTGGCATAGAAAAAGACTTTATGGACACATCCTCAGTAGCTTGGGAACTAGCACAAAGAATCAACAACTGGGATCTCATCTTATTAGAAAGCTTCTGCAACTGCAAGAGAAACCACCAAATGTGAGGAAAAAATTTTACCAGCTGCTCCTCAGATAAAGGTCTACTATCTAGAATATATAAAGAACTCAAAACAAATCAGAACCCCCAAATATAACGACCTGATTAAAAATGGGCATCTGAAATGAACAGACACTTCTTAAAGAAGTAAAAGCAGAAAATAAATATATGAAAAAATGTTCACCGTCACTAGTCATTTGAGAGATGCACATGAAAACAACACTGAGATTCCACCTCACCCCAGAAAGAATGGCTGCTATCAAGAAATAAACCAATAACAAATTCTGGTGGCATTGTGTGGGAAGAGGAACCCTTCTCCATTCTTTGGGGGAGTTCAGACTGGTGCAACCACTGTGGAAATCAATATGGAGATACCTCAAACAACTAGGATTAGAGCTCCCATTTGACCCAGCTATCCCTCTGTTGGGTATCTTTCCAAGAGAATTTAAAGAATCATACCACAGCAACATATGTGCACCTATGTTTATAGCAGCACAGTTTGTAATAGCTACAACTTAGAAACATCCCAACTGCCCATCAATTGGAGACTGGGTAGAAAAGATGTGGTTTTTTTCAAAATAAAAATTAAAAAGCCATAAAAATGGGAAACTGGTCATTTACAGGAAAATGGATGCATATTGAGGCCACACTCTTACGTGAAATAAATAGGACACACATGTGTAAATACCAGTTTCTCTGGTATGAAAAACTAAAAGTGTAAATATGATCCAAATTGTATAACTGATAATGTGAAATAGGAAGAAAAGGGCTAAAGGTGTAGGGGAAGTGGGAAGGGTAGGGGAAAGGAAATAAGGGAAAAGAAAAAATATGAGAAAAGGAAAAAATGAGAACCAAGACCTGTCATGTAAAGGTACATGATCCCAGTGATGAATGTAACTCTACTGTATACCTAAAAAGTACCAATAAATGCAATTTTTTAAAAAAAAGATGACATAACCAAAACACATTGGAACTATCATACAAAATGATCAGCATGGTCATGGGACAAACAAAATCTGGAAGAACTAACAAAAATGGATCAAAACATGAATGAAAAAATTGTCAAATATATGGACTTTGTGAAAAGGTGTAAAACTGACATCCCAAAGATAAAGACTTCCATAGAATTCATAAACAGCAGAAATAACCAGTGTGAAGCTATTGTTCTGGAAATTGAGGACATGATTATTTACTCAAAGAAACCTCAAGAA